TTTGTTCAAAGTTTTGTGTGTGTGTGTGTGTGTGTGTGTGTGTGTGTGTGTGTGTGTGTTTGTGAGACAGGGTCTCACTCTGTCACCCAGGCTGGAGTGCAGTGGTGTGATCTCAACTCACTGCAACCTCTGCCTCCCAGGCTCAAGCAATTCTCCTGTCTCAGCCTCCCGAGTAGCTGAGATTACAGGTGTTCGCCACTACCACCCGCCTATGTTTTATATTTTTAGTAGAGATGGGTTTTCGCCATGTTGGCCAGGCTGGTCTTAAACACTTGACCTCAAATGATCCACCTGCCTACGCCTCCCAAAGTGCTGGGATTATCGGCATGAACCACTGTGCCTGGCCTAAAGTTGTTTTAATATATTAGTGTAGTTATCCCAGCTTTCTTTTTTTTTTTTTTGAGACGGAGTTTCACTCTTGTTACCCAGGCTGGAGTGCAATGGCGCGATCTCAGCTCACCGCAACCTCCGCCTCCTGGGTTCAGGCAATTCTCCTGCCTCAGCCTCCTGAGTAGCTGGGATTACAGGCACGTGCACCACCATGCCCAGCTACTATTTTTTGTATTTTTAGTAGAGACGGGGTTTCACCATGTTGACCAGGATGGTCTTGATCTCTTGACCTTGTGATCCACCAGCCTCGGCCTCCCAAAGTGCTGGGATTACAGGCTTGAGCCACCGCGCCCGGCCAGCTTTCTTTTAATAATTGCATTTTTTTCTATCTTTCCTATTTTTAAAGTTTTAATATTCTTATTTATTTATGTTTTCAGAGACAGGGTCTTGCTGTGTCAGCCCAGACTGAGCAGAGTGGGATGATAATAGCTCACTGCAGCCTTGAACTCCTGGCCTCAAGCGATCCTCCCACCTCAGCCTCTTGAGTAGTTAGGACTGCAGGCACACCACCATGCCAGACTAGTTTATTTTGTGTAGAGACGGAGCCTTGCTGTATTGCCCAGGTTGGTCTCCAACTCCTGGACTGAAATGATCCTTCCGTCTTGGCCTCCAAAGGTGCTGAGATTATAGGCGTGAGCTATTGGCCCTAGCCATATATATATTATTTGAGCTGGCAGTATGTTATTATGTTTTACGGGCATCCTTTTTTTTGAGATGCATTCTTGCTCTGTCGCCAGGCTGGAGTGCAGTGGTGTAATCTCAGCTCACTGCAACCTCCACCTCCCGGGTTCAAGCAATTCTCCTGCCTCAGTCTCCCAAGTAGCTTGGACTACAGGCACACACCACCATGCCCAGCTAATTTTCTTGTATTCTTTTAGTAGAGACGGGGTTTCACGGTGTTGGCCAGGATGGTCTCGATCTTTTGACCTCATGATCTGCCCACCTCAGCCTCCCAAAGTGCTGGGATTACAGGCGTGAGCCACCACGCCCGGCCATCAGTATCCTTTTATATCCTTTTATGTGTATCGTTTATAGCATGCAATGTTAATATATGGTTTTATACATTATATATTTACATTAATATAAATTTCATAAATAGTATATTAGTTAGCATAGTATAAATTTTGCTGTGATAATTGTAGCAGGCAGAATAATGGACTCCCAAAAATGGCTACATTCCACTTCCCAGACCTGAGACTATGTTGTCTCACATGGCAAAAAGACTGCAGATGTGATTCAGTTAAGGATCTTTTTTGAGACGGATTCTTGCTCTGTCACCCAGGCTGGAGGCATGATCTCAGCTCACAGCAACCTCCGCCTCCCAGGTTCAAGTGATTCTCCTGCCTCAGCCTCCCAAGTAGCTGGGATTACAGGCATGCACCACCATGCCCCATTAATTTTTGTATTTTTGGTAGAGGAGGGGTTTCACTATGTTGGCCAGGCTGGTCTCAAAGTCCTGACCTCAGATGATCTGCCCACCTTGGCCTCCTACAGTGCTGGGATTACGGGCATGAGCCACTGTGCCCAGCTAAGTTAAGAATCTTGTGATGGGGAGATCATCCGGGCAGATTGAAGAGCCTAGTGATTCAGAGAGTTCTTAAAAGTGAAAGAGAGAGGCCGAAAGCAGTGGCTCACACCTGTAATCCCAGTACTTTAGGAGGCTGAGGTGGGTGGATCATGAGGTCAGGAGTTCAAGACCAGCCTGGCCAACATGGTGACACCTCATCTCTACTAAAAATACAAATATTAGTGGGGTATGGAGGCAGGTGCCTGTAATCCAGTTACTCAGGAGACTGAGGCAGGAGAATTTCTTGAACCCAGGAGGTGGAGGTTGCAGTGAGCTGAGATTGTGCCATTGCACTCCAGCCTGGGCAACAAGAGCAAGACTCTGTCTTGAGAGAGAGAGAGAGAGAGAGAGGGAGAGGGAGAGAGAGGCGGAAGAGGGGTCAGAGTCAGAGAGATTTGAAGACACCAAGTTACTGTCTTTGAAGAGGGAGAAAGAAAGTCATAAACTGGGCATGCAAGCAGCCGCTGGAAGCTGGAAAAGGCAAGAAAATGCATCCTAGAACTCCCAGAGCAAGGAACCCCTGCTGCCACCTGGATCTGAACCTAGTGATACCTATTTTGGACTTCTGACCTCTAGAACAGTAAAGTAATAAATAGGTGTTGTTTTAATCCACCAGGTTTGTGGTAATTTGGTACAGCAACAAATAGAGATCCAGTACAATAATAACCCTCCAGTCTCAGTGGTCTTCAAAAGTTTATTTCTTCCTCATATTACATGCCCTTCACAGTTTGGCTTTGACTCTGCCCATGTCTTCTGTGTCCCAGAACCCTGGCAAGAGAGGCTGCCCCTACCAGGGGGACACCAGGCTCAGGGCAGATGGAAAAGCCCCATGGCAGAACCACACTGGAGCTTTGAAAGCGTCAAAGAGGTGCTTTGATGCTCTGCTTCATGTCTTCTATATCCCAGAGCCCTCTCTTGCCAGGGTTCTGGGATGCAGAAGAAGTGGAGCAGAGTCAAAGCCAAACTGTAGGCCAGGCGCTGTGGCTTAATGCCTGTGACCCCAGCACTTTGGGAGGCTGAGGTGGACAGATCACTTGAGGTCAGGAGTTCAAGATCAGCCTGGAGGCTGAGGTGGACAGATCACTTGAGGTCAGGAGTTCAAGATCAGCCTGGTTAATATGGTGAAACTCTGTCTCTACTAAAAATATAAAAATTAGCCGGGTATGGTGGTGCTTGCCTGTAATTCCAGCTACTAGGGAGGCTGAGGTGGGAGGATTGCTTGAACCAGGAGGTAGAGGTTGCAATGAGCTGAGATCACTCCAGCCTGGCTGACAGCCTGGGTGACAGAGCAAGACTCTGTTTCAAAAATAAAACAAAACAAAAATTAGCAAGGCGTGGTGGCACACTGCCTGTAATCCCAGCACTTTGGAAGGCCCAGGCAGGTGGATTACCTGAGGTCAGGAGTTTGAGACTAGCCTGGCCAACATGATGAAACCCCATCTCTACTAAAAACAGAAAAATTACCCGGGCATGGTGGTGGGTGCTTGTAAGCTCAGCTACTCGGGAGGCTAAGGCAGAATTGCTGGCACCTGGGAGGCAGAGATTGCAGTCAGCTGAGATCGCACCACTGCACTCAAGCTCAGTGACTCCATCTCAAAAAAAAATTAGCCAGGCATGGTGGCACACACCTGTAGTCCCAGCTGGGCGCTGAGGCAGGAGACTTGCTTGAACCTGGGAGGCGGAGGTTGCAGTGAGCTGAGATTGTGCCACTGCATTCCAATCCTGGGCAACAGAGTGAGACTCTGTCTCCAAGAAAAAAAATTTAAAAATTTAAAAAAGTTATTGTCCCCAGTGTGGGATATCAGTGTTAGATCTCCAAGGCTGGCACTTAAGGAAATGAGCCTGGACACCCTCCCAAGGCTAGAGTGACTAACCCACTCCCAGACTTCTTTTTGCTACCCCTTCCTGATCTCGAACCTTATTTATTGCAGGGAGAGGAGAAAGGTTGAAACCACAGCTTGTCGAAGGCATTCATTCAGTCTCATGGGACACCTTCTCTGTTCAGGCTGTGTCCAGGAACAGCCACGGACCACACAGCCAGGCCACCCGGCTTGTGCACCCAGCCGCCAGGCTGGAGCTCTACTCCACATACCAGCGGAGTGGCTGGCAGGAAGTTACTCAGCCTCTCAGTGAGCAACCCAAACTCTGCGTGTTATTCGTTTGTTCGTTGATAAAATAAGGTATCTTATCATTCTCATCAACTTCATGGGCTCGCTGTGAGGAACACGTGAGCTGATTCCATCACAGCCTCCTCAGGAGGTGTTTCGGGAGCTGGCTATGGAGGCTGCCCGGCTCACTGCTTCCTTTCTAGGGGAGGCCTGTCTTCAAATGCGTGCACACACACAAACAGGGTGGCCTGATGTAGACCAGCTGGTCTAGAAAGGCCTTGCAGGGAGCCTGGGAGGTGGCGAGGGGGAGACCATGAAACACAGACAGACCAGAGACCCAGAGATCAGAGAGATCAAAGGACCCAGAGATCCAGAGACATCTAGACCCCAGAGGCAACAAGAAACGGAAAGACACAGAGGCCCATGGAGACCCAGGCAGCCTATCGCTTCTCGGCCTTTTCCCTAAGAGCAAGTGTGAGACCCAGGCGGCTTGTTCTGTGTTACCAGGGGAAAAATAAAATAAAAAACAAAAGAAAGAAAAGAGAGACCCAGGGAGCCTCAATGAAATTCAGAGACTCAGGGAGGCCAAGAGATTCAGAGACCCTGCCCCAGCAAGGCACAGTGAATCAAAAGTCGCCCACCGGGCCCTCGCAGCCCAGGCCTCATTTCTCGGCTCAGCACCTTGGCGGGGCATTTGTCAAGAGGGTAACGGGGATCCTAGCTCCCTGCCGTTCCTATGGCGTCTCAGGCCCTGGGGTCCAGCTGGCCTGCCTTCACCCCTGTGGTAGCTGATGAAGCTTTGGAGAGGCTTTCACCCTGGGGAGCCGCAGCTGGGTGCGGACTGGACTGACAAGCAGAGAGGCAGGCGGTGTAGGCCGAACCACGCCCCCCAGGGAGGCCCTGATTGGTGGACGGGCAGCGTTGGGCGGGCAGCCCTCAGGGTATATAAGTGCACTCGCTGGGCCGCCTGGGTTTAATGCTGTGGGCAGTTCCTGAGGTCGGGTAAGGCTCTCTGCAGGAGGAGGCTGGGCTGCTTCTGCTTGTGGGCGTCTACATGAAGAGGCCCAAATTGGCCCTGGGGTGGTCGACGGCACTTTCTCCTCAGCCCCGTGGTTGGCGTCTCTTTTCTCGGGGATGAGGGTGGGTTTAGGACAGGAGCATGAAATGTTTGGAGTGGCCCCATCTCAACTTGCTCTAAATCCAGGTATTTCTCTAATTTCGTTCCTCCCTGTGGACCTCAGTTTCCCCTCGGTGTAAGGGATCAGTGGCCCTTTCAGTTCTGCTCTGGTGAGGGGTCGGGGTTGGTTGTGAGTTGGGGCCTGAAGAAGCAGTTAAACTTCTTTTGCCAGGTGCAGTGGCTCATGCCTGTAATCCCAGCACTTTGGGAGGTCGAGGTGCGCGGATCACCTGAGGTCAGGAGTGCGAGACCAGCCTGGCCAACACGGTGAAACCCTGTCTCTACCAAAAATAAAAAAAATTAGCCGGGCACGGTGGCAAGGCTGTAGTCTCAGCTACTCTGGAGGCTGAGGGTGGAGAATGGCTTGAACTGGGGAGGAGGAGGTTGGAGTGAGCCAAGATTGTGCCACTGCACTTCAGCCTGGGCGACAGAGAGACTGTCTCAATAAACAAACAAACAAAACCTCTTTGGGTTTTGGAGGCCAAGGGCTTCACTTTTAACTGGCTGTGAGACCTCAGCCTTCAGTTTCCTCGTTTGAAAATGGGTCTGGGGCCGGGCGCGGTGGCTCAAGCCTGTAATCCCAGCGCTTTGGGAGGCCGAGGTCGGTGGATCACGAGGTCAAGAGATCGAGACCATCCTGGTCAACATGGAGAAACCCCGTCTCTACTAAAAATACAAAAAATTAGCTGGGCATGGTGGCTGTAATCCCAGCTACTCAGGAGGCTGAGGCAGGAGAATTGCCTGAACCCAGGAGGCGGAGGTTGTGGTGAGCCGAGATCGCGCCATTGCACTCCAGCCTGGGTAACAAGAGCGAAACTCCATCTAAAAAAAAAAAGAAAAAGAAAAAAGAAAAAAAAAAAGAAAATTGGTCTGTGTTGAACGTACCTCCTTACCAGGATGAAATAAGATAAGGCCCTTAAGCACAGCTCCAGGCACTTAGGAAGCCCTCAGCTCTGCTTGTTGCTGCTGTTACGCTGCCTGTCCTGGGGTGCCAGGAGGAGGGCGGGAGTGACGCAGCCTACAACTCTTTGCTGCTTTTCTGGCCTCCCCACTCCTGTTGCAACCTGGCTGCCTGATGTTCTGAGCCCCCAAGTCTCCGCCTGGCCCTTGTCACCACCCTTTTGATTTGTGGGAGTCACGGGGGTACATGGTAAACCCTGAGCCTCCTTTCTCTACAGGTCACCCTGCCTCATCTCCATCTCCTATGAGATGAATGACTCCCAAGACCCCACCACTCCCCCTGTAGTCACCACCCAGGTAGAGCTGGGGGGCTGCAGCTGGCAAGGTGGGGGCAATGGGTTCCTCCGTTTTCGCCAGCACGAAGAGCTCCAGGCCTTCCTCAACCTTCTGGGTGAGTTTGTGGGGCCAGCATGGGAGGGTTGTGAGGCCAAGTGTGAAAGCAGACGTGAAGTATGGAGTCTCATCTGCCTGTACAGCCATCTGAGGCCTCTGCCCTCTCCCTCTCAGGTGACCCAGCTTAGGCAGGTGGAGGGGGGTGTCCTCTCAGAAACTGGGTTCAGTGCCAGGTGCCATGACTCACACCTGTAATCCCAACACTTTGAGAGGCTGAGATGGGAGGATCAGTTGAGGCCAGGAGATAAAGACCAGCCTGATCAACATAGTGAGACCCCATTTCTATTTATATTAAGAAAGAAAGAAAGAGAGAAAGAGAGACAGAGGAAAAAAAAAGAGAGAGAGAAAAGAAAGAAGGCAGGCGCAGTGGCTCACACCTGTAATCCCAACACTCTGGGAGGCTGAGGTGAGTGGATCACCTGAGGTTGGAAGTTCAAGACCAGCCTGACCAACATGGAGAGACCCTCTCTCTACTAAAACTATAAAATTAGCCGGACATGGTGGTACATGCCTGTAATCCCAGCTACTTGGGAGGCTAAGGCAGGAGAATTGCTTGAACCAGGGAGGCAGAGGTTGCAATGAGCCAAGATCGTGCCATTGCACTCCAGCCTGGGCGACAAGAGCAAAACTCCGTCTCAAAAAAAAAAAAAAAAAAAAAAAGTCTCAAAAAAAAAAAAAAAAAGAGGGTTGAGTGGTGGCTTGAGCTTTGCAGCTTCAGAGAGGAAGAGAGGAAGGTGGTAACCTGCGTCCATCTTCTCTTCTCTGCCTTCAGAGGACAGTTTTGTCCAGGAATTTCTCTCCAAAGACCCCTGCTTCCAGATTTCAGATAAGGTGAGGGAGCCCAGTGGGGCTGGAGGCTGGGGGTCTCTGGAGGGTCAGGTTGAGTTGGTGAGAATTGAATGCTGCTACTTTATTGAGTGCCCTGGGCAGGTAGGGAGAGCTCCTCACCTTTCACCCTTACCCCCTCATCTTTGCACACCCCTCCCCACTATTTTCCTGACTTTCTTTCCCTGCAGGAAAACCTCCTTGGATACAAATGAACCTGGGTGCAAGCCCCTCCTCCTCAGAGGATAACTAATGCCCCACCCCACCCCCCATCTGTCTCTGCAGTATCTCCTGGCCATGGTGCTGGTCTACTTCCAGCGTGCCCACCTGAAGCTCAGCGAGTACACCCACAGCAGCCTGTTCTTGGCCCTGTAAGTGGCGGGGACAGGGAGTGGAGGCATTTGCTGGAGGTGTCTGATGGGGCGGGGTGATGCTGTGGCCTCCGCTCCTTGACCTCGTGCTTCTGTGGCTAGGTACCTTGCAAATGACATGGAGGAGGACCTGGAGGGGCCCAAATGTGAGATTTTTCCTTGGGCCCTGGGAAGAGCTTGGTGTTTACAAGTGGGGAAGTTCCTGCAGCAGAGGGATAAGCTGTGGGCACGGATGGGTTTCCGGGCTGTCGTGAGCCGCCAGTGCTGTGAGGAGGTGAGGCTGGGGGGCAGCCTGGGGTGTGGGAAAGGCTGGGGTTCCCACCTCACTTACTGTCCACTCTGCTCCTCCCAGGTCATGGCAAAGGAGCCATTCCACTGGGCTTGGACTCGGGACCGGCGCCCCCACCATGGCGGGGTTCAGAGGGTCTGTCCACAGGTCCCTTTCCGCCTTCCCCGGGGCCCTGGCCTCTCGCCACCCCACTGTTCCCCCTGTGGCTTGCCCCAGCACCGCAGCTGCCACCCACTTACGCCTGTGTCATTCAAGTGTTCTTCTCTGACCTCGGAGTGTCATCGCCTTCCCTCCCAAAATTCTCTCTCAGCGTTCAAAAACGCCTGGGGCGGGGACTTTCTCCTTGTCTTACCCGCCCAGATGCAACTGGAACCTGACACCTATTGCCTTCGCAGTGAGTACAGGATGGGGCAGGACAGGAGCTTCAATCTGGGGTGGGAGCTTGGGAGGCAGGAGGGAGGACCAACAGGATGAGAAGGAGGGCTGTGGGCCTGGGATCGCAGTGCTGCTGCCCCTCCTGTGTGAGCTTGACAGCTTTCCTCCCTGAGCCTCACTCTCTCCTCTCCCCAGTTTTCCCAAAGCTTCTGCCACGCCCTGGGCACTGAAGCCCTGTAGGGTGAAGAATGGCACGCCTGCTGGCCCACTGACCCACACACCGTCAGCCGTGCTCCCACCACTGCCCCTTCCTCCCAGCCTGCAGCTTTACCCACGCTGGTCCTGGTCCCCTCTAATAAATTCATGTCCACAAGACTCCAACTGTGCTTAGGTCCTGGCCTGGTTCCTTGACCTACCATCGGGGTGGGGAGGGGGAGTCTACCAGGGTTACAACATGTGAGCACAGGCTGTGTCACAGCTTGGCCCCTTCCTTCTTTCTTTTTTTAGAAGTGTGTAGTGACACAGCTTGGCCCCTTCCTATTGGTGGCCAGTTATCCTGAGCCTCAGTTTTTCCTCTCTGTAATATCCATGCCTATGGATAATGAGATCTACACAGTGTTGATGGGATTAAATGATATGAGGTATCTGCAGCCCTTAGAAGAGGACCAGGGAGCTGGGTGTGGTGGCTCACGCCTGTAATCCTAGCACTTTGGGAGGCTGAGGCAGGTGGATCATTTGAGGCCAGAAGTTCAAAACTAGCCTGGCCAACATGGTGAAACCCTCTCTCTATTAAATATACCAAAATTAGCCAGGCACGGTGGCGCACGCCTGTAATCCCAGCTACTTGGAGGCCGACATGGGAGAATGGTTTGAACCAGGGAGGCAGAGGTTGCAATGAGTCAAGACTGTGCCACTGCACTCCAGCCTGGATGACAGGGTGAGACTCTGTCTCAAAAAAGAGTAAAAAAAAGAGAGGGCCAGGAACCTACTGGGAAATAAAAGTTGAATGGAAAACAGCTCTTTATTCAGTCTAGAAATGCCTTCAGGGCCAGGTTTACTTAGGAATCAGACTTGATCCCTTCCCTGAGCTTCGATCAAATATAATATTGTAATTATAATACAACCCCCTCCCCCCAAGAGACACGATAACTCAAGGGTTAATTTCTTTTTTTTTGGAGACAGAGTCTCACTCTGTCGCCAGGCGCCAGGCTGGAGTGCAGTGGTGCAATCTCGGCTCACCGCAACCTCCGCCTCCCTCGTTCAAGCAATTCTCCTGCTTCAGCCTCCTGAGTAGCTGGGACTACAGGTGTGCGCCACTATGCCCAGCTAATTTTTTTGTATTTTTAGTAGAGACAGGGTTTCACCATGTTGGCCAGCATGGTCTCGATCTTTTGACCTGGGATCTGCCCGCCTCGTCTTCCCAAAGTGCTGGGATTACAGGCTTGAGCCAAGGGGTTAATTTCTTTTCTTTTTTTTTTTTTTTTGAGACGGAGTTTCACTCTTGTTACCCAGGCTGGAGTACAATGGCAGGATCTCGGCTCACCGCAACCTCCGCCTCCTGGGTTCCAGCAATTCTGCCTCAACCTCCTGAGTAGCTGGGATTACAGGCACGTGCCACCATGCCCAGCTAATTTTTTGTATTTTTAGTAGAGACGGGGTTTCACCATGTTGACCAGGATGGTCTCGATCTCTTGACCTTGTGATCCGCCCGCCTCGGCCTCCCAAAGTGCTGGGATTACAGGCTTGAGCCACCGCGCCTGGCCTGGGTTAATTTCTTATTATTATTATTTTTTTTTTGAGACGGAGTTTCGCTCTTGTTACCCAGGCTGGAGTGCAATGGCGCGATCTCGGCTCACTGCAACCTCCGCCTCCTGGGTTCAGGCAATTCTCCTGCCTCAGCCTCCTGAGTAGCTGGGATTACAGGCACGTGCCACCATGCCCAGCTCATTTTTTGTATTTTTAGTAGAGACGGGGTTTCACCATGTTGACCAGGATGGTCTCGATCTCTTGACCTTGTGATCCGCCCGCCTCGGCCTCCCAAAGTGCTGGGATTACAGGCTTGAGCCACCGTGCCTGGCTGGGGCTAATTTCTTAATGGAGGAGGCAGGAAGGCTTCCCAGAGGAGGCTGCAATTGGACTGGACCTGGAAATTCATGGAAAGACCATCTAGAGCAGTGATTAAGGCTTGGTCTTTGGAACCAGATTTTTAAAGTTCAAATTCCGGGTCCCTCTGTGACTTTGGCATGTTATTTAATCTCCCTGTGCCTTTATTGACTCATCTGTAAAATGCATGATGATGAGATTTGAATGGGTTGATCCCACAGAAGGGTTTGGAACAACGTCTGGCATGAACAAGTGTGAACCCTTGGTGTTCCGGTGGAGGAACTGCGTAGAGAAAGGCTGGTGAGTAGGGTGTTCAGTGGGTGAAGATGGAGAGGGCTGGCAGAGTATGGATGGAGTTAAGAAAGCCTGGAGACTGACGACATTAGCCAAGACAGGGACTAAAAAGTGTTTTGAATTTGTTTTTCCAATAGATAATATGTTCACATATTCATTTTAAACCAGGAGCCACCCTCCTACCCCTGACTTCAGCTGCCTGATTCTCTGCCCTGGAATCAATGAAAGCAGTAGTTTCTCCTGTCCTTCCAGAGAAAGAATCTAAACTTATAGAACCCCATGTGGTATAATAAAAATTTTTTAAAATATGTAGATGGCTGGTTGCAGTGGCTCACACCTGTAATCCCAGCACTTTGGAAGGCTAGGGTGGGAGGATCACTGGAGCCCAGGAGTTCGAGACCAGCCTGGCCAACATAATGAGACCTCATCTCAACAAAAAAGAATTTAAAAATTAGCTGACTGTGTTGGCACATGCCTGTAGTCCTAGCTACTTGGGAGGCTGGGCTGGAAGGATCACTTGAGTCCAGGAGTTGGAGGCTGCAGTGAGCTATGATTACACCTGGGCACTCCAGTATGGGCGACAGAGTGAGAGCCTGTCTCAAGACACACATACATATCTTTGGTTCCTGACAGAGGTCCTGAAACCCTTGTAATTTTCTAAGTGATAGAAGTGTCTTTTCTTGACAGCAACCCCCACACCTCCATTAATCCTAACAAGACCACCTGAGTCCATGCTAATGAGGTGACAAGATGCAGGCTGGGAGACTAAAGATTGGGTTAAAAAAACAGGTGGATGTGCCGGGACGGTGGAGAGGGCAGAGAAGCTCCGTGCACCATGCCCCCGGTGCCTTGCCCTGTGCAACTCTTCCAGCTGGCAGTTTTGGAATTGTTTCCTTTGTATTAAACAGGTAATATCCTAGGAAGTGAGGCACTTTTCTAAATTCTGTAGTCGTCCACTGCATTATCAAACCTAAGGAGGAGTTGGGGGAACCTCTGAATTTGTAGTTTGCCAGAGAAGTGTCAGTTGCCTGGGCACCCCATTTGTGGCTGGTATTTGAAGTGGGGTTAGCCTTGGGGTACTGAAGCCTTAACCTCTGGGGTCTGTGCTAATGCCAGGAGTTAGTGTCAGAATGGAACTGAATTGTTCAACACCCCATTGGTATTGGAAAATTGGTGTGGAAAATGTATTTAGTGAGAAAAAGATAACCACACCAGATATGTATGTATTTCCCATCCTGTTTTTAGTAAATGCCAGAACTCCCTGCATCTTCTTGTGGTGCACTTATGAATGTATTTTGAAGAAGAAGATTTTTTTTTTTTTTTTTTTTTTTTTTGAGATGGGGTCTTGCTCTATCACCCAGGATGGAACGCAATGGCGAAATCTTAGCTCACTGCAACTTCCACCTCCCTGGCTCAAGCAATTCTCCAGCCTCAGCCTCCCGAGGAGCTTGGATTATGGGCTTTCACCACCATGCCCAGCTCATTTTTGTATTTTTAGTAGAGACAGGGTTTCGCCATGTTGGCCAGGCTGGTCTCAAACTCCTGACCTCAGGTGATCTGCCTGCCTCAGCCTCCCAAAGTGCCGGGATTACAGGTGTGAGCCACCACACTCGGCCATTTTCCCCCCACTTTTTTTTGAGGCAGTCTTGCTTTGTTGCCCAGGCTGGAGTGCAATGGCATGATCTTGGCTCACTGTGTCCTCTACCTTCAGGGTTCAAGCAATTGTCCTGCCTCAGCCTCCTAAGTAGCTGGGATTACAGGCATCTGCCACCATGCTCGGCTAATTTTTGTTTTGTTTTGTTTTGAGACGGAGTTTCACTCTGTTGCCCACGCTGGAATGCAGTGGTGCAATCTCAGCTCACTGCAACCTCCACCTCCTGGGTTCCAGCAATTCTCCTGCCTCAGCCTCCTGAGTAGCTGGGACTACAGGTGTGTGCTGCCATGCCTGGCTATTTTTTGTAGTTTTAGTAGAGAACGGAATTTCACTGTGTTGGCCAGGCTGGTGAAGAGAGTTTTTGTATTCATGCATTTCTTGCTACAGCTGTGTTGTATTCATTGTTTGTTTGTTTGTTTTGAGATGAGTTCTCACTCTGTCACCCCAGGCTGGAGTGCAGTGGCATGATCTCAGCTCACTGCAACCTCCGCCCCCCAAGTTCAACTGATTCTCTTGACTCTGCCTCCTGAGTAGCTGGGATTATAGCCACCTGCCACTGTGCCTGGCTAATTTTTGTATTTTTAGTAGAGACAGGGTTTCAAAATCTTGGCCAGACTGGTCTTGAACTCCTGACCTCATGATCCACCTGCCTCGGCCTCCCAAAGTGTTGGGATTACAGGCGTGAGCCACCGTGCCTAGCCCCTCCCCCGCTTTTTTTGAGACAGATTTTACTTTGTCACCCAGGGTGGAGTGTAGTGGTGCAATCTCGGCTCACTGCAGCCTCAACCTCCTGAGCTTAAGATATTCTCCTGCCTCAGCCCCACAAATAGCTAGGACCACAGGTGTGCACCACTATGCCCTGCTAATTTTTGTAGAGAGAGAGTTTTGCCATGTTGCCCTGGCTGGTCTTGAACTCCTGAGCTCAAGGGATCCCTGCACCTGGGCCTCCCGAAATGCTGGGATTATAGGCATGAGGCACCGCGCCTGACCTTGTGTTGCTGTTTAAGTATGTAAAGTTGTTTCTAGGCTTCTGGTAACCCTGTGATGTGTGACTTTGTAAGGACAGCATTATTCAAATGTAAGATGGTATCTAAAAAATGAATTCCTAGAAGAATTGCTGAGCTGAAGGGCCCCATCAAAGTTGTCATTTTGGCGATTTTGGCCAAATGTCCTTTGGTAGAGGCTATGCCTATTCGCCAGCTTCCCTGCTGACACGGCACAGCAAGGTCTGTGTTCCAGAACACAGGCCCGCCAGTGAGGGGCCAGATTTTTTTTTATCTTCGCCAAACTGATACATGGGAAATGGTCTCTTGGTGAAATTTTAATTCAT